TGGGAAGTAGGTATTGTCCATCCTCAGCTTGCCAATAATAGTTTGGAATGTTTGCTTAGATTTTTTATATCACGACACAAGGATATCATAGTCACTGACTCATTCGAAGACATAGGAGGGTAAAGGGATTGGTATGTAAATATATGGAGAAATCTCAATGACTGGAAGATTAATGAGCATGAGACTCTTTTAGACTCTCATTTTCGTATCAATGGATGGTAATAATGATAAACCAATGTGAAGTCTCAATGCCACATAGTCTTTTACAGTCAGACCTTTCTATAATTATTTGGTGAAGTATGATACAACATAAACCAAGTTTCTTTTTCGAAGGTTAATACCCCAATTAGAGTTGCTTTCTTTGTGTGGGAGGCAAGCTGTGGGTGCATTCTGACTATCGACCAATTGATGAGAAGAGGAAGGATTATGTGAAAGGTTGTTTTCTTTGCAAAGGGAGACATAATTATGTAATCATGTCTTGCTTTAGTGTCCGTTCGCCTATAGGTTATGGACTATGGCTTACGGGTTGCCGGGGATCAGTTGGGTGATGACTGGGTTGGTAAGAGATGACCTCAGTACCTGTGTCCTTCAAAGCCTTGTATCACTATGTGAAGGCAGATTTTTTTTTCTTTTTATGCCAATGAATTATGGGCAATATCTTACATTCGGGCAGCTACTCATGAATTTAACTGTTTTTCATTCTCTGCTTCATTTTTAAAGTAAAAGTTAGAATATATATATGTATATATAGAGATATATATATATATATATATATGTAAAGGCACCAAAGTTTTGCAACCCATATATAAAGTTTTACAAATTTATTAAAATATCAATCAAGTGATCTAAATCCTCAAAAGAATAGAAAGAATGATCCTTAAGGAACAGACTTAAGGTTTGGAACCAATTATCATTAATTATATCCAAAGAAAATTCTATGGCCTCAAACGCCCTCATGTTTCTCTCATTACAAATAACCCATGAGGTAGCCAAAGGAATTAAGCTTAAGTCCTTTTCTATGGCTTGAAAATCTTGTCATTTTGTTCATAAGAAAGAGCTGATGTGGAATTTGGCATAACCTCAACAATGTATTGATTTTGGGGCTGATTATCTATTTTACATGTAAAGTTGTATTGCTTGACTATATTTCAATTTGCCCTATCTTTTGTTCCATTAATTTTGCTGATTTCTTGCTTTCTTTTATTTGCAGGCTGCTATGGCGGAGGCAAGATCTCAACAGGCTGCATCTCTTACGGAGTTCAATTGGCTTGGGCATAGATTTCCTATACACAATGCAAAGACTCGTGTTTCTATTTTGAAAGGTTCATTACTCTGTTAATGATGATTCGTTATGAAATCAGAACTTTTAAGGAAATTGGTTTGTTCTTTTTTCTGCAAGGAGCTAAGTTTTGATTAAATAAAAGAAAAAGACGCAGAAACATCTATCTGTAGTTAACTTTGTTCTTATGACCTCTCTTTCTCTCACTGTCTCTTTCCCTATATATATGTGTGTGTATATATATATTTATTTGTATGTATATCCATTTATCTGTCTATTATTAAGTGATTTGACGTCTAATTAGTAATACAACTATTGAGTGTGAATATAGAAGATTTAATCATCAAAGAATTGTTATGTCAACGATAGAAAGTTCTGGTAATGTTGTTCTCCACATATTGCAGAGATGGTTCCTATCCCTTTCTAGTTTTCTTTTTTGGAATTTTTCTATTGATGATTTATGTGGTTCTACATGAAGTTTAACGATTTGGCGTGAAGACAATGTTAAGGATGTGAATGGCTTTCGGACCAAGAAATTTGGATTGTTCTTTTGTTGGCTAAAAGTGCAGAAAAACTTATGATAGGAAAATATTCTAGATAGAATTCGATGCTTACAGATTCATCTTTTGCTTCATTTTTTTTATAAACCATCTGCATCCTCTGATGGTGCATGGTGTATATCTTCTGAAAATTTTTTGAAGTGTCGCCGTGCAGTCATCTACATTTTCTAAGATGGTCCCATCTTTTTTACTTTTGTGATTATCCTTCAGCTCAAGAATTGGAGAAGGATTTATATGGAGCTGTGGCAGACACGCTTCCTGCGGAGAAAAGATTAGTTATTTTTGACAAAATTTTTACAGCCTATCAGGAGGCACGGAGCTGCATTCGTGGTGACTTGGTAAGGGACCTTAGATGTTTTAATGTTATTTCAGTTTCCTTTTTAAAGTTTTACCTGGAGCACTATTGTTCTGGCTTTTCCTCCACTCCTAATGTTGACTACATAAATTTTTTCTTCTGAAATGATATGGACTATTAATGTGTTGGATTTGACTACCTGATAACAAATTGGATACCTGTGTATTACATTCTAGGCTCAATGTTGCCGAGCCAAGAAATGAATTTAAAGCGATAAATTGTTAGTCCTGTTTATTTTTGGGTTGATATTCCCTTTGTACTATATGTTTTAGGCAAGTGCAGGTAATGCTGACAATGTGAAGGATGACCTAAACGGTCTTGATAAAGCTGTTAGTGCAGTATTAGGACAACGGACCATTGAGCGCAATCAGTTGTTAGTTAGCATTGCAAAGACTAAGCTTAGTAGGAGACGTGATGACAAAAATGAGAAAGTTACTAAGCCTGAGGAGCTTGTTCGCTTATGCGATCTTTTATTACAGGTTATCAATCTTCTCGTAGATGTTTCTTAAAATGCTTTGTTTCCCCTAAAACATTGAAGAACACCTTCTACTATCTGTGTTCTATATTTGGCAGAATACGGCAGATCTTTCTGATCTTGTTAGTTCTGGAAGAGATAGGAAACCTGAAGAAGTGGCATTTGCTGAAGAGTGTCAACTCAAAAGTCTGGCTTTCCGAGCAGAAAGGTTTAGTTCGTTAATGTTTAATCTGTTTGTGCAGAAGATTTTTTTGTATGATCTCTTGCTACCTCAGATGTGACCTCCTCTATGGTTCATGCCAAGGGCAGTGGGCTATTTGCTATATTCTAATGCAGTTTCATATTAAGCACTATATTGGCCAGGGTGCCCATCTATATGAGTAAATCTTCTTCAATATTGTCACTCTTGACTAAATATTCTTTTGCTTCTTCTTATCTATCCCTAGATGCTGTAGAATCCATTTTCAGCTGTTCTGATTAATATTCACCAATCCTTTCATACACATCCTTGTTTTAGCATGCTTATTTTGTCAACCTTCTGTACATATACTTTTACTGTGATGTACTGTCTATGCAGTGGAACTATGTAAAATATTAATCATCCCTTTCTCGTGTTTGAATTCCATGAAGAGATGTGTTTAACTAGTGTAAATGTGTAAATGGTAGTTTTGGTGCCTAAAATTGGACTTCCTCACATCACTAATGATTTTAGGTCAAGAATATTAAGAAATTTGTATATCAAAGAGTGTGTGCATCTGTCAGTAGATACATTAAAACAAAGATAAAAATATACTTAAATTAGTTTGCTAGACTGTTGTTTGGACGTTGAATGGTTTGTTCTTTATCTTTTTGATGATATATGCTTTATTTACATATGGGTAGGTTTTGTAATTCAGATTTCCACCCTACCCTATAGCACTCTGATATCTCTGCTAACATCAGATGGTTATAGTTTTGTTCTTTTCTGGAAAATATTAGTGTATGCATCAGTGGTTTTACCTCTCTTGCTTGCTCTCTATCTTGGTTGGCGAGGGAGTTGAGATGTGATTGAGTTTTTTGGTCATCCCAAATGATCCACAGAGTCAT